AGAGAGACAGAGAGAGAGAGACAGAGACAGAGACAGAGACAGAGAGAGATATGCTAGAGATTGAACCTACAGCTTTGCAAATATGTTACCACTATGCTGTATCCCAGACTGATGACAAAATTTAAAGAGAAAGTTAATTCAGAAGTACTTAGCTTTCTTTTTAGTTTTTTTCAGAATTATGTCAAATTCATCCATGGCTTTAATATTTCTGTTATACTAAGTGTGCTCAAAGCAGTGATGGCCTTGGTGATGGTCTGACAGGTCACTAGCATGCTTTTCATAGGGAGTTATTATCTGTTTGAGTGACTTAGGATGAAATAAAAGACGTAAAAGTAGCTGTGAGTTTATTGGAAATTATGTGCCCCTTTGCATTGCTATGAGCAGTATGTTTGTTCTTTTGTGTGAGAGCCATAATTATAGTAACAAATGCTGGGAGATGTGCTGCAAATATTTTGCACGATTGTTGGATTTTTAGTGGAATTTAAAACTCAATATAATTTCATCATTTAAGTAATGACATTATTATATATGATGGGTGGAAGAATACTTTTTGGCTAAAAATGGTAAAAAAAACAAAAACAAAAATATCACCTATTATGATACTCCCTGAGCTTTTCAATAACAGCCAAGTCTTCTGAATTTTATTCCATCATCTATTTATCTATCTACCTATCTATCTGTCTATCTATCTATCTATCTATCTATCTATCTATCTATCTATCTATCATCTGCCTGTCCATCTGTCTATCATCTATCTATTGTCCATACATCTATCAATCTATCTATCTATCTATCTATCTATCTATCTATCATTTACCTATCTATCTACCAACTATCTGTCTATCATGAAGGGGGGGCATATGCCTTTGGGTGCATGCTGAATCTTATTTTTTTTTTCTTGATGCAAACTGCACGAGGATTTATTATAGTTGTTTAATGAGCTAACCCCATGTTAGCTCGGGTCTTTCATCCACCTGCCATGGCAGATGGCTAGAAAAGACAGCTCGAAGTGTCTGCATAGAGATCTTATAGGGCAGCGTAAGGAGAGTGTCAGGATTGGTGTGCCTCCAGGCTTGGAGGGTTTGCCCTGTGTTGATTGGCCAACTGGTTGTTATGGCCCATAGGCCTTCCCAGGGTGGTTGCTATGCTCTGCGTGTCATTGCTGTGCGCTTGTCTGTAAAGCACACCCATAGCCGTAAAGCATAGTACCACCAGCTAACTTCTGATTGGTTCCTTGCCACGAGCTGAATCTTATTTTTAAAAGCTTTATATGGACATGTATTAATTATGCATAATTATAGATTTATTGTGCAGGTTACATTCATGCATACAACGAATTCTGGTCATGCAGATCCTTTTATCTAGGAGTACAGAATCTGATATCTTTCAATTACTATGTCACTCAGGATGAAAATAATAAGATTTAATGTTAATATTCTCAGATGAATCCTATTCAATCTTTGTGTCCCTTATGCGTTTTGTCAGGTCTCCCCCTACATTTCCTTCTTTCTTTCCTCTCTTTCTGGCCTCTTCATCCATTTCTCTTCCTCTATTCGGTGTACTACTGAGTGTATTGTATGCCCACCACATGCTAATGTTGTTGAAGATGGCAAGCAATTGCTTTTGTTTTGTCATAATTTCTGTTAGACGGAGCAAGAACATATCAGTTGCGGAAATCCCTGCTTATTTATGGAGACACACCTCTCTGGTCAAGGTGGAAAGAGATAAGCCTAGGACTTATTCTTCAAAGGTATTTCTAGGCCATGCTTATCCACAAGAATCCCTGCTCATCTTCTGTGGCCACCTACACAGTTCTCAGCCCTGTCTAACCCAGAGAGTGAACTGTCATTCACACTGCTGGATCACAGGCTGTTATTTGTTATGGCCAGTAGGACAAGTGAAATCCACCAAGCATCTTTGTTAAGAGAGATTCCCATGTGAGGCGTGCCATGAAAATCAACAACTCAAGCAGGGCTGTTGCTTCCACCTGCAGCCTCCTGGTAATGATCATGGTAGGATGCAGGGCCACCACTGCTGGCCAGAGAGAGCTATTTGGACAGCACCTAAGACAGAGTCAGGTCTCTTAGGTGCACTGTGCCTACAGAGGCATGGCACTACAAAAGTGTCAAATTGGAAACCATTTGCATTTATTTTTACAGAAGCCAGAAAATCAGCTGTGTGGAAGACAATGGTCCCTGCCCTTTGGTTGTACTGCTTGGTGCTTCTTCTGCCTATAGAATCCTGCAGGATATTATGCCAGGTAAAAATGGGGGAAGAGTGGATGGTGAGTTGGTGGAGCTAACAAATGGACAAAGAACTTTTCAGTCACGAGCTCTCTTTTCTGAGAGCTGACGTATAAGGGGAAAGTGGTGATGACGTGGTCCAGCACAACCTGAAGAAATGACCATGACAGGTGACAGGAAAGACCACTTTGCTATGGAATTGTCTCACTTTAATTCCCCAAATCAGTTCTGAAATTCAGCAAAGCTGAGGCAACTCATAGGTAATAAGCCATTCACTATTATTTATTTATTATTTTTTATTGAGCTGTACATTTCCCCCAACTCCTCCTCTCCTCCCCACTTCCACCCTACTCTCTATCCCCCATGCTTCCAATTTTACTCAGCAGGTTTTGTTTTTTTCTGCCTTCTTTGGTGGATCCATGTATGTCTCTCTTAGGGTCTTCTTTGGTACCTAGATTCTCTGGTGTTGTGGCCTGTAGACTGGTTGTCTTTATGTTTAATATTCACTGATGAGTGAGTTCATATTATATTTGTCTTTCTGGCTCTATGTTACCTTGCTCAGGATGGCTTTTTCCAGGTCCATCCATTTGCCTGCAAATTTCAAGATATCACTGTTTATTTGTTTATTTATTTATTTACTGCTGAGTAGTACTCTATTGTGTAAATGTACTTAAAAATAGTGTGTGAAGGAACATTGGAAAAGAGAGGATTTTAAAATATTTTGAGAATTTTGGGGGAAAATAACTGTTATTTGACCATAAGACCTAGAAGACTGCCTTGGACCTAACTGGCGAAGCTCTCATCCCTTACTTTATGGACAGAGAGACTGGGTGTTGAAGGATGTGCTTCATATAAGAAAAGATGAGCCTCCTTAGGAGAGAACGATTTTGGAATTTCTTGTCACAAGTTTTCCAAACAACACTTCACCATCTAATTAGTTTGCTCTTCTTTGTAACTCCCCTTCATCGCACCACTGAACTGAAATCTGGTTTCTGAGAGAAATTACAGATGCTCTGGGAAGATGTTTTGCTTGGGCATTCTAATGCCCACAGCTTGCTACTGTCTTTTGTTTTCTCATCTACAATTTTCAACAAAATATGGAGTAGGCAGAACAGAACATGGGAAAGAGTCATTATTGTTATTGGTGGGGCTCACCCTACCAGGAACGGTTTATCCTTTTCTTCCCATCGTTTGAGTTTCTGGTTCTCAAGCTGCTGGGTGCTGGTCCTCCCCTCACTCACTGGGAAGCTCTGCAGTTTCAGTGGGCTGCAGGTAAGCATCTGCCTCTTTTTTCTAAGATGAGGCTGAGGAATGTTAGTAATTGAAGCTAAAGTCACACACCTTGGATGCTACATGGATGTGAACTGTGCAGAGAAATCAGATATGATATATCTCAGAAAACTAACTGGGATGAAGCAAATCAGGTCTTTGATGTAAGAAGGTAGACTTTCCAGAACTTCTTGTCCACAGCATCTCGTGTCCTGCCCACACACCCAATTAGTCAACTGCACCTTCTCTGGAGTGTGTTTAGTGACTAGAGATTCTCTGCAGCTATTGACTTTGGTATTTTGCAAATTACGGCTGTGTCAGTATGGATTTGAGAGGCCTCCAGTTCTGCCATAACCCCCTCTGCTTATTGATGTGTGTTATCTGACCTTTGGAAAGAGCAGTGCTGAAGGAATTAGGAGAGCAGATTCTAATCTCAGGAATGAGAGGCGTTCCTTGCATGGCCTTCTTCAGGACACCTCATCTACGACAGTTTATGCATTCTCATTTGTCAAATAAGGAGACTGGATGGACTATCTGTCTGCATAGTCTTCACGATCTCTAGAACTATTATTGTAGCCTTCTGGTTTAGTGGAAGCAATGCACCTTTTTGACTGGAACCGTAGGGATATGTTCCCATGAATAAAAATGAGAGGCCATCACACACTGGCCAGTCCAAGGTATTCCGTTTCATGAATTTCCTCAGAGACACCTTCTCAGCTATGGAGAGACCTCAAATACTCAATTCAGAGCCTCCATAGTTTTATTTGATAGAAAAACAAGGAATATTCATTATTGTTTTGATAACATAGAGGAAATAATATTGTTAATAAGAAAATAAAATGAATATCATATGTTGGCCAAGCAACAATGTCCAGAAATTTTATTTCTTTAATAGCTAAATTCTTGGAATGAAAGTTGGAGCCATGGATAATGCTCTTCCTAGCCACTAGAGGGCACTTATTTTGTTCAGAAACAGGAAGATTCAATTTGCCTCTTTTCCTGGTAACACACATACGCCTGTATTTGTGAATATTCACATGCACACCAATGTGTTATTACAAAAATGTACAAGACCTTGAATTATTTACACAGGGAGGAAAAGGAAGACAGTACATAATCATGTTTTTAAGGACCTTAAATTTTAGTTGAGAAGACAACATGCAAACGATTATGCCGTAGCAGCGGGTGAGTGGAGGCAAGTCAGTGTGGTTGTAATGTGGGCAATAGCCCTTCGGATAGCAGAGTGGGAGTTAGAGCACCTAGAACTCCATCAGAAAAGATCGCTTGGAAGGGTGGAACATGAGCTTGATGTAATTACTATTCAGTATCAGAATAATAACAGCGTGATTAAACCATAAACAGATCTCTCTCTCACTTTCAAGGGTGGGCCTAAGGGTTTCTCATGTGTTAACTCATTTATTCCCCTATAAAAGCAGTAATGTCTGCTTTGCTTACAGGTGGGCGAGAGGAGGCACAGACAGTTGACCACTCCCTCTTAAGGGACAGTGTCAGGATTTGAGCCTAGGTGGGCTGGTGGGCTTTTCCTAGACCATACTTTCTCAGGGTAACCAGATATGCATGGGTGGGTGGTATGGGGGGGAAACTCCCTTAAAGAAGAATAACATAAAATACAAAATAAAAGTGAGCGTTTTCTTAGAATGAGAAAAGGAATGAAAATAAATTTCAAGCGGAATTGCTTCAAGGATTTGTATCTAGTAAATACTCAACAGTACCCAATCATACATTCAGCAAAAATAATATTGGTGATAATAATTTATAACCTGTACTTGCATTTTCTTACATTTTGCATATAAACGAGTTTATAATTTCTTTTATATAGAGGATAAGATCCATCTTTCATTTTTTTAAATCGTTTTGTAAACATTCATTTTATGTACATGGGTGTTTTGTCAGTGTGTATATCTATTTGCCATATGTGTGCCTGGTGTCCTAGGAGGCCCTGGAACTGAAGTTACAGAAGACGGTGAGCTCCCAGGTGGGTCCTGGGATTTGGACCCCAGTCCTTTGGAAGAATAGCTGGTGCTCTTAATTGAGTGCTGAAACATCCCTCCAGCCTCCCATTCTTTCCTTCAGCATTGCCCTACACTTTCCTTATTGTAGCTAGCTTGGAATATCACCATTTAGTTTTCCCACTTGTTATTAGTAGTTTTATGTAAACATGTAGTATTGCTATAAAAGTCAGGAAAACTTCAAGTTTCTTTCCAAAGAGCTGTCAGATGTCAGGGTACTTAACATTTGTTGTTGAGTTGTTCTGTGGTCACCTGTAAATAATTTTGAATTAATGACACTTACGGGTTGATCTTCTTGTAATTTAGAAGGGACTTCAAACTATATAAATATATCCAATTAATATATTATTATGGGAAATGTATTCCTCACTCAAGTCCTTGTCTGGATTTCTTTAGTAAATACTCCACTTTAGTGATACCCCAAGTAGGACAGAGTGTGAAGGGGGAAGGATGAGATAGTGACAAAAAGCGATAATCTCAACAGATGAAAGGCAGTTGAAATATTTTGTCTTTGCAAATATGATAAATATGATCATGTGAACATGGGGTCACGTGGCATGATCTTCTCCTAGGATTTAGTGGTGTCCATATGAGTGAAGTAAGTCTTCATGAACTTCCTAGTAAACTTTCCTCTGCCCAGAATGTAATTTATGTGCAGACTATAGACTATAATGATACAGAATGATGACTGGGAAGAGAGGAGAGTCCTAATGCCTGGCACTGGGGAGAGAAGTTGAAGGACATGTCACTGGGCTGTATGCAACACCTGTGCTTTCAGTGGCTGTGTTTGCCTCATGTCTGATTTGGATATTATTGTTTGTCTGTGATTAAAATGAACCAGTGGTATCACCTGTTGACATTTGATTTTGCTGAGAATTTTGATTTTCTTGTTTCAGGCTTCCAGCAAAAGCAAGGAGATGGTGATGTCCAGACCACATGGTATGTTGACAGCAGCTACCAATCACACAGAAGTTTGACAATCTGTTGTGACAGTAGGCCACTTTCAGCCATCTGGCTCATGGCATGCGAGATGAAACACCTTGATAGATTACATTTTTACTTTGATCATTTACATACAAATCCATTGTGTCTTTAGCCCCAGCCATATTCATATCTTTTCAGCATCCTCTGCCCCACTTTGCCTCAGACTTCTTTGCTGTGAATTTTCATTGAGCTCATTCAAACCAGGGCAGTGACTTGAATGGATCTCATTGACTATGGAGCTTGCTATAAAGCTCTGGACAAGGAAACTTCTTCAGGAACATCAAAGGGAGTGGATTCTAAACTAGAGATGACCTGGGTATCTCTAAGACTCTGAGGAGGTCTTTGAGGGGCTCTGTGGGCCTGGGAGGGTGACTCAGTATGGTAACCCATGGGTCCTTCCCTCTTTTTTAATGGGAGGAATTTATACTTTGGTCAGTTTTACACATTGGAATTTGGTGTGTGGGTCTGTCAGAAGGAACAGGATGCTGTTACAGAACTCTGTAAAGTCATCTTCAATTTTAATGAGAAAAGAAACCCATGTCTGTAGAATTGATGTGCTTTCGCCCCAATGACACCTTACTGACTGGCTGAGCAGCCACGACCTCAGACCTTTCTATCTGATATGGATGCCTTTTATTTTCCCAGATGTATGTGACGGTGTCTGTAAGGACAATGCTGCCCCCTGCTTTCAATCTTGCCCTCCAGAAAGTGAAGGCAACATGAAATTTTCCTGTAAGGCCAAGAAATGGCACAAAGTCACAGAAACCTGCCACACTCTTAATGCCATCAGCATCTTTGAGGTAATGTCCATTCTTCTGCATTATGGACTCTCACAAGGGCTCTGTGAATGAGGTAAAGCTTCAGATTATCATATTGCCCACTTAGGGGAAGAGACAGGCTTCCATGGTGACAATAGGTTGTTTGTCTATGAATACATAAATACCTATCTATCTCCTCTCTCTACACCTTGCGCATCTGGAAGTTAATGTAATGTAGTGCCCTGTGCATGACATGAGGGAACCTGGCCATTTATGCAGAGCAAGGAGAGGCATCTAGAGTTGCCACAGTCAAGTTCTCCATCTTTGCCTTCAGCCCTTAAAATAACCCAAAGCTTTGATACTCATAATATACTTCACTGACTAGTAATATCCACTTAAACTTGTTAGACATGCGAAATTTGGGCTGCACCTCAGACTTTTCTAGGTGAGAAGCTGTAGTTCCGTCAGAATCTTCGTAAGGTGTGGGTGTTTACAAAGGCCTTAGGTTTCCTGGAGCTGGAGTTGTAGGCAGCTGTGAGCCACCTAATTCGGATCTAGGAACCGAATCCTGAGTTCTCTGAAAGAATAGTACCCACTCTTAACTGCTGAGCCATCTTTCCAGCTCCTGCTATTTTTTAAAAAAACACTGTGTCTGTTGGTTCACCTCTTGAGAATGTAAAAATAAGCTAAATGTTAGTAATAATCTATATAAATACACAAGATATACATTTCTGAAGTGACATGTTAAAGAAAACAGTTGCTGTTTTAGAAGACAGGGCTATAGAGCCATCAGTTGGCAAACTCAGACTTATATTTGGTTTTATACATCTTGGTATTGGTCAAGTTATTCCACCCTAGATGCCACTTTGAAAATGGAACATGAAAGAATATTATGTGATATACACTTGTATAATAGGGCTCTCTTAAGTTTTAACAAAAGTGCCTTTGTAGTTAACACAAACAAATGTTTCAGGAGGATGTGGAATTATATTCAGTCCAACCATCTGAATCAACTATGGTTCTACATGAGTTTCATAGACATCCTCAGACCATAGCAGACATGTTGATGGAAAAGTGTCCAAAGGACTTGTCTTGCATCATCAAAAGCATTCTGAAGTCTCCCCGGATGCCAGGGAACATTGCTGTGGTGGTACAGCTATTACACAACATCTCAACAGCTCTCACCAGAGAGGTCAATGAGGAAAAGATGCAGGTGAGTGGCTTTGGAGATCAGACAGCATTCTTTCTTTGGGGGAGGAGCTTAGGTTAGTTGGAATACCTTCTGAGCTTCCCAGTATTTCCAGTGTCCCACATAGCAAGTGCTTATGAATGTTATGGAAGGAAGAATAATAAACAAAAGAGTAAAATCACACACCAGGTCAAGACGCATCAGTAGAGAGAGCTTTCTTGGTTCTGTGGTAGGCATCTCAGTCTTTTTTATATTTTCTGGGGTCTCGGTCTGTGATGGGTTGAGTCTGGGAAGGGCTGAATCCAAGAGAGGTTGGGCCTTTGAAGGTTGATTCCATGAGGGGTAGAATCTGTAAGGGTAGAGGCTGTGAGAGGTTGATTCTATGGTTGCCTGGGTCTTTGAGGAGTTGCGCCTGTGCAGTTATGAGTCTGTTGGGGACCAGAGAGAGTCTCCTTTCCTAAACTACTACACATTTAAACTACTGAAATTATTGAAGAAACATTGTGGGTTATGTGCAAAGGAAGACTTACATTCATTTGTGAATTTGAACAAGTCGCTAAAATGGGAAGCAAAACAAATGGCCAAACCTGTGAGCTACAGAAGTGTGAAATGGAATGGGATTTATTTCTTCGTGGTTTTGATGCTTAAGTAGAGAGTAGTGAAGAATGATTCAACCTCTGTGGTCAAGTTCCAGTTGTTAGCATATTTCTATTTAGAATCCTGTAACACGGCTGGGACTAACAGATGTCAGCTCCATTATGGGTACTCTGAAAGGGCAACTGAATGATGGGTTTTGTCCAGGTGTGCAGTGGGGCTGATGGTTGAAATAGACACATTCAAGCTGCATACCTGCAGGTCTCACAGGAAGACACAGAACAAATAAGAGGGAAACAAAGCAAGGAATTCCTTTACAAATGAATTCTCTAAATGGCATCCAATAGTGTATGTGTGTGTGTGTGTGTGTGTGTGTGTGTGTGTGTGTGTGTGTGTGTGTGTGTGTGTGTGTGTGTGTACATGTATAGGTGTGTATTCATGTGTGTACAGGTATTCATTCATGTGTGGAGGTCAGAGGGTGATGTCAAATGTCTTATTCCTTTCCACCTTAGTTCTTTGAGACAAAGTCTCTTGCTAATCTTGGAGATCAATGATTTAGATATATTGACTAGCCAAATGAGCTTCTGGGAGTGCACCTGTCTCTGCCTCCCTAGTGCTGGCATTGCAAATGTACCACAGTGTCCATCTTTACCATGGGTGCTGGGGATCTGAACTTGGGTCCTCATGCTAACATGACAAGCCAATTAGTGACTGAGCTGTTTTCGAGCCCTGTCCAACAAGCAGCACAGGCACTCACTCCTGGAGACCTCCTTAGAAATGCAGAATCTCACACACCATTCCAAACTCAATGGGTCATACTCAGTGTCTTAAATAAACCACTGGGTGACTTGCTTGCACAGTAAAGCTTAAGTTTACTTGCAGCCATGTCCAACCTGTAGCCCACACTCTGCATGCAACCCCTAATATGTAGTAACACAGCCCAATACATTTATAGATGACAGTACCATATCACAATGCTGCTGGTTAGAAGACCACACTTTGTAAGAGCAAGTCTTATATGTATTGGGAGTTTCAAAGAGTAGATCACTACTAATGCCATCTCTTCTTTGACAGAGTTACAGCGCCATGGCTAACCATATCCTTAACAGCAAAAGCATATCTAATTGGACCTTCATCCAAGACAGAAACAGCAGCTGTGTCTTGCTTCAATCAATCAATTCATTTGCAAGCAAGCTATTTGTGAAGGAACATCTCATCAACATATCACATGTCTTCATTCATACCATGGGTACCAACATGTCCAGGGACAGCCTTGGGAAGAATTTCACTTTCTCAATGCGAATTAATGATACGAGTGATGAAATTACTGGGAGTGTACTGTTCACGACTGAAGAGCTTCAGAACGTTCCTTCTCCTTCCCAGGTCATCAGCATTGCGTTCCCAACTCTTGGGGCCATCCTGGAGGCCAGTCTTTTGGAAACCACGACCGTGAATGGGCTTGTCCTGTCTGTCATTTTGCCTAAGGAGCTTAAAAAGATCTCACTGATGTTTGAAAAAATCAGCAAGGCCGAAGGAAGGAAGTCCCAGTGTGTGGGCTGGCACTCCCTGGAGAGCAGATGGGATCGGAGAGCTTGTAAGCTGATTCAAGAAAACTCCCAGCAAGCTGTTTGCAGATGTTGGCCAAACAAGTCATTTACCTCTTTCTCCATTCTCATGTCACCTGACACCTTGGAGACCCCGGTTCTAATTTATATCACATACATAGGCCTGGGCATTTCCATCTGCAGCTTGGTCATCTGCCTGTTCATTGAGGCCTTTGTCTGGAGTCAAGTGACAAAGACAGAGATTTCATACTTACGTCACCTGTGTATCGCTAACATTGCAGCCACCTTGCTGATGGCTGATGTATGGTTCATTGTGGCTTCCTTTTTCAGTGGCCCAATGTCACATCACAATGGATGTGTGGCTGCAACATTTTTTGTTCATTTTTTTTATCTGGCTGTGTTTTTCTGGATGCTTGCCAAGGCTCTCCTTATCCTCTATGGAATTCTGATCGTGTTCCATACACTGCCCAAGTCATTCCTGGTGGCCTCTCTGTTTTCAGTGGGCTATGGGTGCCCTTTGGTGATTGCTGTTATCACACTTGCTGTTACAGAGCCCGGGAAAGGTTACCTCCGACCTGAGGCCTGCTGGCTCAACTGGGACATAACCAAGGCTCTCCTGGCCTTTGTGGTCCCAGCTCTGGTCATTGTAGCAGTAAACCTGATTACAGTTACACTGGTTATCATCAAAACCCAGAGAGCTGCCATTGGTAGTTCCATGTTCCAGGAAGTAAGAGCCATAGTGAGGATCTGTAAGAACATTGCCATCCTCACACCGCTGCTGGGGCTGACCTGGGGATTTGGATTAGCCATGGTCATCGATGGTCGCTCCCTGGCCTTCCACATTATCTTCTCCTTACTCAATGCATTGCAGGTAAGTGCAGAGCCTTGGTAGAATCGGAAGTGAGAGGGTATGTGCAGCTGTTTTGTGATCAGGAGCCCAGGGTGCTGTGTTTCATGCAGAATGCAATGAAATAGAGATACATTTTTGTTTCAGAAGGGCCTGGATTTGAATACTGACTCTTATTTACTAAGGATATGTAGCGTGTTTTTGCATGTCTAGTTTTTTTCTTTTTTTCTTTGTGCATTTATTAGTTCCATTGTTCTGTAAAAAGCTAGCACACATCTCATCCTTGGAGGTTACACACAGAGTATAGAAAGAGAGAGCTTTCAGGTGGCATGTTCACGCCCCTTATTCTTCTTAGACTAACTTTAAATCAGGTACATATTTTGCTGAGAATCATTGCATTGATTTGAAGTGGCTTTTAAGACAACATGGTACATTGTTTTCATACCTATATGGCCACTATATAAACCACAGTGCTTTACAAAGTCGACATTTATGCAGATGGTTGAAATTAATGGCAAGAGATTCTGGTTTCAGTTCTGACATAAGCCATTCAATATTTTCAGTCTCATACCAGAATTTCTAGTATAAAGTATCTACAAAACACATAGGCACTTAGATATAACATTAATGCTTGATTCAGAACCTTGTTTTATTTAAATGTTCTTTTCATGCTACAACACAACCCTTCAGAGTCAATCAAATAGATAATGTCAATAGTTTCCTCAAAATTCTTAAAGACTCACAGCCACAGTCCTAAACCCCTATAAAACAGCTTCAGTATCCAAAAGATCACAATACAGTAACTGTGGCATTAAATCCCATTTTTATACAAATCAAAAGAAAAGCAAATGAAAGATTATCAAACTACCAAAAACCAGTGGCGTCATTATTTAGTATGTATATTTCTTAACTCCCTAAACTTTCTCAACACTGGGGAGTTGCTCCCCCTCTTTTTTGAGACAGGGTGTCCTTGTGTAGACCTAGCTCTGTAGACCAGGGTGGCTTTGAACTCACAGAGATCCTCCTGCCTCTGTCTCCCTAGCGTGAGATTAAAGGTGTGCACCACCATCACCTGGCCAAGAAAGAAAGAAAGAAAGAAAGAAAGAAAGAAAGAAAGAACGAACTTCCCTAGCAATTCTCATGCCATTGAGAGCTGGAAATCACTGATTTTGCAGAGTATCTAATTATGCAAAAACATGAGTAATTGAAAAGTATAGCACAGGGAAATTGCAGGCATGTGGGAGGTAAGACTTAGAAACCAATACACTCTGTTTTTGAAATGTCTAGTTTTTGCATGCATGTTTTTCTATACAAAAAGAGAGTGTACTGCTGCCACTTCCTGGAGGTGCTCTGAAAATGCAATAAATATGAATTTGAAAGCGACAAGCTCAAATACTAAAATTAGGTGCTAAAGACCATAAATACCTGTTAATATGCCAAGGTTTTCATATTTTTTCTTTTTCTTTTTGAGATGTGTCGTATGTATCACAAGCTGGCCTCGAACTCACTATGACCTTAAACTTCTGATCTTCCTGCCTCCATTTCCCAGGTACTGGGTTATAGGTGTACACCACCACGTTCCATTTATGGGGTTCTGGACATTGACCCAGGGCTTCATGCATGCTAGGCAAATATTCTCCCAACTGAGCTATATGGCTAGCCCTGAGTTGTTATGATTTAGAGAGCAAGCAAGCAATCACCTCTTCTAAAATTTAGTCTTAGACTGGAGGTGTTACATTTTTTACACTTGTATTTTCTGCTACTTAGAGGTTTTAGACAGCCATGTATGCCATCTTATTTGAACAAGGCAAGTTATACCAGAGACTTCAAAGGTCATTTCTTTTCACCCTTCTCAAGCATGTATGGATTAAACGATGTTCATGGTTTCATGTGTTATCATTGCCAACTTCTTTCTGTAGCTTATCAAATATATACTTAATATAAAACTGAAGGCTTATGTGTATTACTATGTACCTGTTAGGCACACATGCCTCCAACATTCCATTTTAGATGGTGTTGGGGGTCAAACTCAGGGTTTCATAGACTGTGTTCCACCCACTGAATGACATCATAGCTATTATACAACTTTCCTTCTCACTTGAAATTATATCTTAGTCTTCTACTGATCTAGTGTATATGTCTATTAAATTTCTAGATAAAATTTTCTACCTAATAAAAGAATGCAATAAATCTTTGCATCATTTAAACAATTGTTACACAGTATAAAAAGGTAACATACCTTTAACTAATATTCTACAACATCATATAGCTGGCATTCCCTGCCCTCTACCCTAAACTCTCCAGCCCAGGGACTGGACTTCCCTTCCCCCAGAGTCTCTTCCCTATGTAATACAGACATTTTGGTTCCCTGCTTTCTTTCTGCCTTTGGCCTCCTGGCTGGGGCAACTGGTTCCCCTCATTCCCTTCTCTTTTCCCTCCCCTCTCCCAACCTGGTCCACTTAAGCCTGGTCATGTCCACTCTGGACTCTCCCAGATATCCCTGCCTCTGTCTATGGTCTCCCATATATGTACAACAAACTTTCTCCTTCACCGTAGCTAGTCTTTTCCTTTCCTTTTTATTTCTTTTTTTTCATTCAGTTTTAAATTTTGAGGGTAAAATCCATCTTGGCAGTAGAAACATGAGCCAGCTGTTCATATTGTACATACAGTCAGATATCAGAAAATGACTGCTAAGGCTCAGCTATCTGCCCCCTTTAGTTTAGTATACTAGCTTAGGAGATGGTACCACCCACATTCAATTCATTTTCAGTTGCATCTTTCTGAGAACATGCTTACACATATTAAAGGTGTATCTCTGGTGTTTCTGGATCCAGTTGAGTTGACTATGAAGATTAACTACCATGTTATTTTTTTTTATTAAATAAAACCACAAATAAGAAAAACATTCTATTTAACATTTTCCTTCTTGATTAGAATTACATACATCAAATATAAATATTGCAATTAATTAAAAAGAAGCTTCTAATTTTCTAAAGAACTATATATTTTTTTTGGAGTAGCCAGTAAAAGTACTTTCAAATATGTATTTTACCCAGTTGCTAACAGAGACTTCAGGTATCTACCCATTTTTCTATTTCAAAATGTGAACAGAAATGATTCACTTCATACAGTAAACGTTTTGATGTCTTGGGGAACACTGTTATCAGTAGTAGAGCATGTAAAATATTTTAAATCTTGGCTATTTTCTATACTTCTATAGAAGGTGTTATTACAGTCTAGATTTATAGCGATGTTAGTAATTATCAACTCATTATGTGTCTTTACAAAGCTAGTCATTGATGGGACTGAGGGAAGACCCCAGGGTGTCTAACTTCCAGCAAATCTCCAGGCTACTCTTCATAAACCCTTAATAAACACCTGTCTCACTCCGTAGCAGGGACTTTCCTTTCTCCCCCCAGGCTACCTGACTTGTGGCTCTTGTTTTGGACTGGACTGTGAGCTCTTGAGTTCTGATACTGTGGGCACTTTCACTTGTAATAGGATCAACTGGAGACTCAAGTCATTTTCTGTCTCTACTCTTGGCAAGGAGAAGGGTGAAGTCATTGAAATGCCAGGACTCATGAGGTAGTTGGCAGCTGCCAACCAGTGTGGGTGAGGGCTAGACACTGCCATGGGAGAAGGCAGTGCTATACCGGCTTGTACTGGCTCATGGAAGCTGGCTTATAATTGAGAAATTTTGTGAGCTGGTTATAGACACAGCCATCAGTAAAACTCAGTAAAACAGATTGACAGGGATATGGTTTAGATTAAAAACCACAGCTGTGTCTTCCCCAAACTTCTTTCTTTGTCTGTCTTGATACACTCCTTGCCTATCTTTGTATCAGGGCATCTTTGAGGTGCTCAACAAGGAAGGAAAGGGAGCCGAGCCATGGACCCTCTGAGGTCATATACATTCAACAGGCTGGGAAGCAGCAGCAGAGGTGGGGCTTAGGGTGAGAAGTGGTGAGGGACAGTTGAGGCTGAAGGAGCAAAAGAGGGATCCTGAAACAGTCTGGGAGGGCAGAAGATGCATGACGCAAGTCCTTCTAAAGCTTTTCTTATTCTAGTCTTACAGAAATATCTCTCCTGATTGGGAGCTTAGATAGCCCCTTCACTGTGGAAGTATTAATGTGGAGTCAGTGGCTGCCTTGCGTGTCATCGTAGCTGCTGTCTCTTTCCTGTCTTCTCTGAGAGCTACTGTGGGCTGGGTGGGATTTTGAGACACTCTCATCTCCCAAAGATATTTTAGTAGGAGAATAAAGAATTGTAGACTAAAACCTGGGAGAAGACTTCAGGCTTACCTGCTTACATTGATTGTGCTGTGTCCCCCAAGAGAAATGTGGCAAATTTACCCCTGCTGATTTTTTTTAAAGATTTATTCTTTCATCTTTCCTCTGTTAGATATTAAATTCTATGAATAAACTTTCTATGAGGTGACATAAACCAATGAAAAGTTATTTTAATGGAATACTTTAATATTTCATATTTGTGGTTATATAGACTGAGGGTGGGTAATAAAGTCTTAGGCTGGGGATATAGTTTAGTGGTAGAGTACATGCCTGGCATGCCCAAAGCCCCTAGTTCAATCCCTGGTACCCACTCCATATAAAGAAACCACAAGAAGTTATTAAATATGTGCACATCTAAATACAGAATCATCACACATTGGTTTTGTGCTTCTTATTATAATTTGTGTTTTTTGAGACAGATTCTTTCGTCCAGACTGTCCTGGAAATCAATATGTAGCCCAAGCTGGCCTTGAACTCACTGAGATACAACTGCCTCTGTCTCCTGAGTGCTGGGATTAAAAGGCATGTGCCACTATGCCTGGTGCCATTCATTATTTTAAAGGTTGAATATACAAATATATAAAAACAACCCTAAGGAACTAAAACTCTCATGAGAAAAGACAGTCTTTTTGTCCTTCAGCCAAAACCAAAACCAAAGCCAAAACCAAAACAGAAAACAAAACAACCCCCCCCCCCAAGTCTGTGTAGAGGAAATACTCTACAATTGTCATAGTTACTGTCCCAGTATGTGAGGAG